GACCCAAATAGACCCAAATGCACCCAAAGAGCCCCATTGAGGAGGGACCTGATGGGGGCCATAGGGGCTACAGTGCCCTGGGGGCTGGCACAGTCTGGTCCGGCACCAGAGCATGGTGCAGCCCCAGTGCCCCCAGTGCTGGGGTTGGGTGCTGGTGCCCCGGCACATGGGATATGGGGGGGGGATCCTGCCTGGTTCCCTGGGATCAACCTTCACAATGCACCCCAATCCCATACGGACACCCTGGTGCACGGCCATGAGCGCTCCTATGCATCCCATGCACTGCCATGTGTGTTCCTATGCACCCCATGCACTGCCATGTGTGCTCCTATGCATCCCATGCACTGCCATGTGTGCTCCTATGCATCCCATGCACTGCCATGTGTGCTCCTATGCATCCCATGCACTGCCATGTGCGCTCCTATGCATCCCATGCACTGCCATGTGCGCTCCTATGCATCCCATGCACTGCCATGTGTGCTCCTATGCATCCCATGCACTGCCATGTGTGCTCCTATGCATCCCATGCACTGCCATGTGCGCTCCTATGCATCCCATGCACTGCCATGTGCGCTCCTATGCATCCCATGCACTGCCATGTGCACTCCTATGCATCCCATGCACTGCCATGTGCGCTCCTATGCATCCCATGCACTGCCATGTGCGCTCCTATGCATCCCATGCACTGCCATGTGCACTCCTATGCATCCCATGCACTGCCATGTGCGCTCCTATGCATCCCATGCACTGCCATGTGCACTCCTATGCATCCCATGCACTGCCATGTGCACTCCTATGCATCCCATGCACTGCCATGTGCGCTCCTATGCATCCCATGCACTGCCATGTGCGCTCCTATGCATCCCATGCACTGCCATGTGCACTCCTATGCATCCCATGCACTGCCATGTGCGCTCCTATGCATCCCATGCACTGCCATGTGCACTCCTATGCATCCCATGCACTGCCATGTGCACTCCTATGCATCCCATGCACTGCCATGTGCGCTCCTATGCATCCCATGCACTGCCATGTGCGCTCCTATGCATCCCATGCACTGCCATGTGCACTCCTATGCATCCCATGCACTGCCATGTGCGCTCCTATGCATCCCATGCACTGCCATGTGCGCTCCTATGCATCCCATGCACTGCCATGTGCGCTCCTATGCATCCCATGCACTGCCATGTGCGCTCCTATGCATCCCATGCACTGCCATGTGCGCTCCTATGCATCCCATGCACTGCCATGTGTGCTCCTATGCATCCCATGCACTGCCATGTGCGCTCCTATGCATCCCATGCACTGCCATGTGTGCTCCTATGCATCCCATGCACTGCCATGTGTGCTCCTGTGCATCCCATGCACTGCCATGTGTGCTCCTATGCATCCCATGCACTGCCATGAGTGCTCCTGTGCATCCCATGCACTGCCACGTGCGCTCCTATGCATCCTATGCACTGCCATGTGCGCTCCTATGCATCCCATGCACTCCCATGCACACGTGTGAGACCATGACTGCTCTCCGTGCACACTGGTGCATTACTGGTGCACACTGGTGCACACTGGTGCATTACTGATGCACACTGGTACACACTGGTGCATTACTGGTGCACACTGGTGCATTACTGGTGCACAGTGGTGCATACTGGTGCATTACTGGTGCACACTGGTGCATTACTGGTGCACACTGGTACACACTGGTGCATTACTGGTGCACACTGGTGCACACTGGTACACACTGGTGCATTACTGGTGCACACTGGTGCACACTGGTGCACACTGGTACACACTGGTGCATTACTGGTGCACACTGGTGTATACTGGTACACACTGGTGCATACCAGTGCAGGCCCTGCTGAGCTCCCATCGCCCCCCCAGCTCTGCCCCCCCTTTCCCTCCAGTCCCGGCTCCTGCTGCAGGGACCCAAGCCCACCCCATGTCCCTGCGGGGGGGACGGGGCCTTTGGGGCTCCCAACCCCAGCCCAGGGCCAGGTCCTCCCATGGAGCCAGTGTGGGATTGAGGACCATGGAATGCATTGGGGTGGGAGGGACCTCAAAACCCATCCACAGCCATGGGCAGGGAGCAGCTTGCTCCAAGCCCCTGTGTCCAACCTGGCCTTGAGCACTGCCAGGGATGGGGCAGCCACAGCTTCTCTGGGCACCCTGTGCCGGAAACACCTCGGATCCCATTGGGATGCGTTGCTGGGATCAGGTTCTCCTGGTCCCCCTGCAGCAGGGCAGGAGCTGAGCAGCCCCCCCCCAGTCCCACTGCAGCCCTTCGAGCCCATGCCCCTTCCTTGTCCCACGTCACCGCTCCAGGACACAAGCACAGGGAGCAGGGAGCTGGTGTGCATGGGTTCTGCTGGGCCCTGGGGTCCCTTCCAGCCCTTCTCCTGGAGGAAGGCCACAAGAGATGGGATCAGAGAGGGGTTTGCACTGGGAGGCCACTGGTTTGCACTGGGAGGTCACTGGTTTGCACTGGGAAGTCACTGGTTTGCACTGGAAGTTACTGGTTTGCACTGGGAAGTCACTGGTTTGCACTGGGAAGTCACTGGTTTGCACTGGGAAGTCACTGGTTTGCACTGGAAGTCACTGGTTTGCACTGGGAGGTAACTGGTTTGCACTGGGAGGTCACTGGTTTGCACTGGGAAGTCACTGGTTTGCCCTAGGAAGTCACTGGTTTGCCCTGGAAGTCACTGGTTTGCACTGGGAAGCCACTGGTTTGCACTGGGAAGTCACTGGTTAGCACTGGAAGTCACTGGTTTGCACTGGGAGGTCACTGGTTTGCACTGGGAAGTCACTGGGAGATGTGCTGGTTTGCACTGGAAGTCACTGGTTTGCACTGGCAGATCACTGGTTTGCACTGGGAGGTCACTGGGTTGCACTGGGAAGTCACTGGTTTGCACTGGGAAGTCACTGGTTTGCACTGGGAGATGTGCTGGTTTGCACTGGGAGATGTGCTGGTTTGCACTGGAAGTCACTGGTTTACACTGGAAGCCACTGGTTTGCACTGGGAGGCCACTGGTTTATTATTGCAGTAAAGAACCAGGCAGACCCACACCGTGCGCTGCTCCCCCATGCGAGCCCCGCCGCATCCCTCCCCTGCCTGCCCCTTCCCCACCTCCATCCCATCCCTCCCTATGGACCAGCCTTCCCAAGCGCCCCCCCTCACCTTCTGCGTGCCCTCCCCTCCTCCAGAGGCTCCATCACCCCCTCCAGTGCCCCAAGACCTCCCTGCTGCATCCCCAGTGCCCACCTCCTGCTGGTCCTCACCCCCCGGGGCTGATGCAGTCAGAGGATGCTTTACTGCCCTGATGCAGTCAGAGGATGCTTTACTGCCCCGGTGCAGTCAGAGGATGCTTTACTGCCCCGATCCAGTCAGAGGATGCTTCACTGCCCCGGTGCAGTCAGAGGATGCTTCACTGCCCCGATGCAGTCAGAGGATGCTTTACTGCCCCGGTGCAGTCAGAGGATGCTTTACTGCCCTGGTGCAGTCAGAGGATGCTTTACTGCCCCGGTGCAGTCAGAGGATGCTTCACTGCCCCGATGCAGTCAGAGGATGCTTTACTGCCCCGGTGCAGTCAGAGGATGCTTTGCTGCCCCGATGCAGTCAGAGGATGCTTTACTGCCCCGGTGCAGTCAGAGGATGCTTCACTGCCCCGATGCAGTCAGAGGATGCTTTACTGCCCCGGTGCAGTCAGAGGATGCTTTACTGCCCCGATGCAGTCAGAGGATGCTTTACTGCCCCGATGCAGTCAGAGGATGCTTTACTGCCCCGGTGCAGTCAGAGGATGCTTTACTGCCCCGGTGCAGTCAGAGGATGCTTTACTGCCCCAGTGCAGTCAGAGGATGCTTCACTGCTGCAGTGCAGTCAGAGGATGCTTTGCTGCCCCGGTGCAGTCAGAGGATGCTTTACTGCCCCGATGCAGTCAGAGGATGCTTTATTGCCCCGATGCAGTCAGAGGATGCTTTACTGCCCCGGTGCAGTCAGAGGATGCTTTACTGCCCCGATGCAGTCAGAGGATCAGAGGATGCTTTCTGCCCGGTGCAGTCAGAGGATGCTTTCTGCCCCGTGCAGTCAGAGGATGCTTTACTGCCCCGGTGCAGTCAGAGGATGCTTCACTGCTGCAGTGCAGTCAGAGGATGCTTTACTGCCCCGGTGCAGTCAGAGGATGCTTTACTGCCCCGGTGCAGTCAGAGGATGCTTCACTGCCCCGATGCAGTCAGAGGATGCTTTACTGCCCCGGTGCAGTCAGAGGATGCTTTACTGCCCCGATGCAGTCAGAGGATGCTTTACTGCCCCGGTGCAGTCAGAGGATGCTTTACTGCCCCGGTGCAGTCAGAGGATGCTTTACTGCCCCGGTGCAGTCAGAGGATGCTTTACTGCCCCGGTGCAGTCAGAGGATGCTTTACTGCCCCGGTGCAGTCAGAGGATGCTTTACTGCCCCGGTGCAGTCAGAGGATGCTTTACTGCCCCGATGCAGTCAGAGGATGCTTCACTGCCCCGGTGCAGTCAGAGGATGCTTCACTGCCCCGATGCAGTCAGAGGATGCTTTACTGCCCCGATGCAGTCAGAGGATGCTTCACTGCCCCGGTGCAGTCAGAGGATGCTTCACTGCCCCGGTGCAGTCAGAGGATGCTTCACTGCCCCGATGCAGTCAGAGGATGCTTTACTGCCCCGGTGCAGTCAGAGGATGCTTTACTGCCCCGGTGCAGTCAGAGGATGCTTCACTGCCCCGGTGCAGTCAGAGGATGCTTCACTGCCCCGATGCAGTCAGAGGATGCTTTACTGCCCCGATGCAGTCAAGGATGCTCTGCCCCGGTGCAGTCAGAGGATGCTTCACTGCCCCGATGCAGTCAGAGGATGCTTTACTGCCCCGATGCAGTCAGAGGATGCTTTACTGCCCCGGTGCAGTCAGAGGATGCTTTACTGCCCCGGTGCAATCAGAGGATGCTTCACTGCTGCAGTGCAGTCAGAGGATGCTTCACTGCCCCGGTGCCTATAGGAAGTAGGTGATGTTCTCGGGGCTGAGGGGCGCCTGGATGTCGAGCCTGCGGGCCCTGCTGCCCTGCTCCACGATCTCCAGTCGCAGCGTGGGGGCTTTCCCTGCTCCAGCACCCTCTGAGGAGCTCTCATGGCCCTTGAGGAGCTGCTTGTCCGAGCCCTCCACAGCGATGCGCAGGGTGCAGCCGCGGGGCAGCAGGTCCTGCTCGTAGGCAGCAGCCAGCTGGTTCACCACGCGCCGCTCCACCTGCGGGTACCACGGAGCTGTCAGCTCGAAATGCAACCCTCGAGCATCACCGGGATGGCAGCACCGTGGAATGGGGTGGGATGAAGGGAGCTGAAAGCTCCTGTATTCCCAACCCATTCCACTGGAGCAGCTTGCTCCAACCCATTCCTTCACCCTCCCCTCTCCAAGCTGGGGCGATGCCACCGAGCTCCATCCCTGCCTTTACCTCGTGCTTGATGGAGCGGGCTCCACCTGCGGGTACCACGGAGCTGTCAGCTCGAAATGCAACCCTCAGGCATCACTGGGATGGCAGCACCGTGGAATGGGGTGGGATGAAGGGAGCTGAAAGCTCCTCCGGTCCCAACCCCTTCCACTGGAGCAGCTTGCTCCAAGCCATTCCTTCACCCTCCCCTCTCCAAGCTGGGGCGATGCCACCGAGCTCCATCCCTGCCTTTACCTCGTGCTTGATGGAGCGGGCTCCACCTGCGGGTACCACGGAGCTGTCAGCTCGAAATGCAACCCTCGGGCATCACCGGGATGGCAGCACCGTGGAATGGGGTGGGATGAAGGGAGCTGAAAGCTCCTCCGGTCCCAACCCCTTCCACTGGAGCAGCTTGCTCCAACCATTCCTTCACCCTCCCCTCTCCAAGCTGGGGCGATGCCACCGAGCTCCATCCCTGCCTTTACCTCGTGCTTGATGGAGCGGGCTCCACCTGCGGGTACCATGGAGCTGTCAGCTTGAAATGCAACCCTCGGGCATCACCGGGATGGCAGCACCGTGGAATGGGGTGGGATGAAGGGAGCTGAAAGCTCCTCCGTTCCCAACCCCTTCCACTGGAGCAGCTTGCTCCAACCCATTCCTTCACCCTCCCCTCTCCAAGCTGGGGCGATGCCACCGAGCTCCATCCCTGCCTTTACCTCGTGCTTGATGGAGCGGGCTCCACCTGCGGGTACCACGGAGCTGTCAGCTCGAAATGCAACCCTCGGGCATCACCGGGATGGCAGCACCGTGGAATGGGGTGGGATGAAGGGAGCTGAAAGCTCCTCCGTTCCCAACCCCTTCCACTGGAGCAGCTTGCTCCAACCCATTCCTTCACCCTCCCCTCTCCAAGCTGGGGCGATGCCACCGAGCTCCATCCCTGCCTTTACCTCGTGCTTGATGGAGCGGGCTCCACCTGCGGGTACCACGGAGCTGTCAGCTCGAAATGCAACCCTCGGGCATCACCGGGATGGCAGCACCGTGGAATGGGGTGGGATGAAGGGAGCTGAAAGCTCCTCCGGTCCCAACCCCTTCCACTGGAGCAGCTTGCTCCAAGCCATTCCTTCACCCTCCCCTCTCCAAGCTGGGGCGATGCCACCGAGCTCCATCCCTGCCTTTACCTCGTGCTTGATGGAGCGGGCTCCGTAGTGCAGGTTGTAGCCATCAGCCAACACATCCATGACCTCCCTGTCCCACAGCAGGGTGATGTTGTGCCTTGCCTTGGCCTATTGGGTGAGGAAGAGGAGGAAGAGGCTGCAGTGCCTTCACCCCATCCCCTCTGAGAAGGCAGCTGGAGGCCAGGGATGGTTCTTACCTTCTTGGCCCAGAAGTTCAGCTCCTTGTTGACCAACTGGATGAGCTCTGCATGGCAGAAGGGCAGGAAATAGACAATCTCATTGATCCTGCCCAGGAACTCATCACGTTTGAAGTGAGCCTGCAATGGGTCAAATGGGATCAATGGGATGGGAAGGATGGGGTCACAGGGACATGGAGCGGTTTGGGATGACCTTAAAGCCCATCCAGCCCCAATACCTGCCATGGGCAGGGACCCCTTCCATAGAGCAGCTTGCTCCAAGCCTGTGTCCAACCTGGCCTTGAGCACCGCCAGGGAACTGGCTCAGTGTTAAGGTCCCTTCATCCCAAACCATTCCATGATTCCATGCCTCCATCAAAGGACTCAGAGCCCCAAGCTGAGGCCTCCTGAACCTCATCCATACCTTCAGGATGGGCCGAATGACCTTCTCCTTGAACTGCTTGGAGATGGTGATCTGGTCGCTCACCTGCACATCATCTGCAAGGCAAGGAGGACAAGGGTTGGTGCAGGGTGGGACATGGGCTCCTTCCCATCTGCCACCTCCGGGAGCTGCGATCCACGCAGGACTTTGGGGCCTCCACGTGTGCCACCAACCCCGAGTGGCTTGGAAAGGGGGTGCCCCTGTGCTTGGCACCCTGGTGCAGGGCTGGGTGCCCCACGGCTGCCCCTGCACACGTTGGGTGCTCGAGGACAGCACCTCCATGAGGTGGCCCATAGTGAAAGGGGCCCTGCTCTGCCTCTGCTCCCTGCCCTCCACCCTGGAGACCTTAAAGCAGCTCCAGTGCCTAAAGGGGCTGCAGGGAACCTGCAGAGGGGCTTGGGACAAGGGCCTGTAGGGCCAGGCCAAGGGGAATGGCTTGAACCTGCCCCAGGGGAGCCTGAGCTGAGCTCTTAGGCAGAAGCTCTTCCCTGTGAGGGTGCTGAGGCGCTGGCACAGGGTGCCCAGAGAAGCTGTGGCTGCCCCATCCCTGGCAGTGCTCAAGGCCAGGTTGGACACAGGGGCTTGGAGCAAGCTGCTCCAGTGGAAGGGGTCCCTGCAATGAGCAGGGGTTGGGACTGGAGGAGCTTTAGGATCCCTTCATCCCAACCCAAGCCATGATGCGGGGGCAGCCCCTGCTCACGCTGTGCAGCTCTGGCCGGAGTCCACTTCCCTCTGCTGACTGCAGATGGAGCCAGGGTCTGGCTGGTCCCGAATCCCTGCTCTCAACCACAGCCACCAGCCCGGGTGCTGCTTTCCCTCCCTGCCACCCAAAGCCTCTCTGGTTTCCCCACCTCACCCCCCCCCTGCACCCTCATAGAACCATAGAATAGTTTGGGTTGGAAAGGACCTTAACATCACCCAGTTCCAACCCCTGCCATGGGCAGGGACACCTCACACTAAACCACAGCACCCAAGGCTCTGTCCAACCTGGCCTTGAACACTGCCAGGGATGGAGCATTCACAACCTCCCTGGGCACCCATTCCAGTGCCTCAGCACCCTCACAGGGAAGAATTCCCTCCTTAGATCCAATCTAAACTTCCCCTGTTTCAGTCTGAACCCATCACCCCTTGTCCTATCACTGCAGTCCCTAATGAAGAGCCCATCCCCAGCATCCCTATAGGCCCCCTTCAGCACCAAACTCCACATCCTGTGTAACACAAGGATGCTTGCGGGGAGATCGCTGCATCCCAGGTGCTCCATATGGGATCCCAGCATGCAGGGTGCTGGAGAAGGACCCATGCTGGGTGCTGGGTGCCCTTCCCACCTTTGCAGCCCTGATGAGCATCGCTGCATCCCCGGCAGTAGCAGAAAGGGGCTCATGGGCTCTACCAACTCCACACTGGTGCCATCACCCCTCATGGTGACAGCAGCACCCCAGGGTGCACCCCAGGGTGCGGTTTGGACATTGCAGTCCATTGAAAGAGAGCAGAGGGCCTTGGTTATGGGGATTTATCCCATTTCCCTTCTCTAATAGACACCAATGGGGGGGGTTCAATAAGCAATGGGAATGTGGCACAGCATTCCCAATGAGAGCTGGAGGAGGCAGAGGACATGGAGCTGCTCCCAGTATCCACGTTTGCCACCCATAACACCCACTGGCAGCGATGGAGATGCTGCAGCAGCTCCTTCCCTTTATCTCCCCATGTATCTGCCCCCCCAGGCACTGAGCCCATGGCTCTGGAGCATCTCCATCGATGGGAAGGAGCCCTGGGGAACGTGATGAGGGCAGGACTGGGGCTGGGATGCGCTCCCTCACTGCAGGTGGGCTCTGCCTGCTGCTGGCAATGGAAATCTGATGTATTCCTCATTGAGCAGCAGTGCTCGTGGCCAGCTCCAACACCCAGCACTCAGAGCAAACAGGGAGAGACAGGGAGAAAGCAGCTGGGAAATGGAAGGGATGCCCCAAAGCAACGTTGTTCTCCTGCTGCCACGGAGCTGGGGCAGATGCTGCAGGTCCCAGGTACATCCCAGCACTTACTGGTGAGGAGGGCTCTGGAGATGGAGCTTTGGGGAATGTGGTGTAGCCCTGATGGCACAGGGAATGGGTTGGGATGAAGGGAGCTTAAAGCTCCTCCAGTCCCAACCCCTGCCACGGTCAGGGACCCCTTCCATAGAGCAGCTTGCTCCAAGCCCCTGTGTCCAACCTGGCCTTGAGCACTGCCAGGGATGGGGCAGCCACAGCTTCTCTGGGCACCCTGTGCCAGCGCCTCAGCACCCTCACAGGGAAGAGCTTCTGCCTAAGAGCTCAGCTCAGTCTCCCCTCGGGCAGGTTCAAGCCATTCCCCTTGGCCTGGCCCTACAGGCCCTTGTCCCAAGCCCCTCTCCAGGTTCCCTGCAGCCCCTTTAGGCACTGGAGCTGCTCTAAGGTCTCCCCTTCAGGAGCCTTCTCTGCACATGGCTGGGTCATGGGGAGCTTCTCATCGTCCATCACACTCCTAGCTGCCCTGCTGAAGATGTGTCCACACATACAGGTCCATAATAGGATCTTAACAGGTCTGTGCTCACACACTGCTGTGCAATTTAGAGCCAAAGGGGACAGCCCTTGGTGCAGCATCACTACACACCCTTGCATCCATCCACCCCTGGCACAGCAGAGACCAACCAGGCCCCGGGGCCCTCCTGGTGCTGCTGGAGGGATGCAGATGAATTTGGGCTCTGCTGCTGCAGTGGAGGTGCTCAGTTCACATCAGAGGCTGCTCTTACCCTACTCAATTCTCCTTTAGCTGAGCTAAGGGCGAGGAGCTGAGGGTGAGGAGCTGAAGGTGAGGAGCTGAAGGGTGAGGAGCTGAAGGTGAGGAGCTGAGGGTGAGGAGCTGAGGGTGAGGAGCTGAAGGTGAGGAGCTGAGGGTGAGGAGCTGAGGGTGAGGAGCTGAAGGTGAGGAGCTGAGGGTGAGGAGCTGAGGGTGAGGAGCTGAAGGTGAGGAGCTGAGGGTGAGGAGCTGAAGGTGAGGAGCTGAGGGTGAGGAGCTGAGGGTGAGGAGCTGAGGGTGAGGAGCTGAGGGCGAGGAGCTGAGGGTGAGGAGCTGAAGGGTGAGGAGCTGAAGGTGAGGAGCTGAGGGTGAGGAGCTGAAGGGTGAGGAGCTGAAGGTGAGGAGCTGAGGGTGAGGAGCTGAAGGGTGAGGAGCTGAGGGTGAGGAGCTGAGGGTGAGGAGCTGAAGGTGAGGAGCTGAGGGTGAGGAGCTGAGGGTGAGGAGCTGAAGGTGAGGAGCTGAGGGTGAGGAGCTGAAGGTGAGGAGCTGAAGGGTGAGGAGCTGAGGGTGAGGAGCTGGAGGTGAGGAGCTGAAGGTGAGGAGCTGAGGGTGAGGAGCTGAAGGGTGAGGAGCTGAGGGCGAGGAGCTGAAGGGTGAGGAGCTGAGGGTGAGGAGCTGGAGGTGAGGAGCTGAAGGTGAGGAGCTGAGGGTGAGGAGCTGAAGGGTGAGAAGCTGAAGGTGAGGAGCTGAGGGTGAGGAGCTGAGGGTGGATGGTTTGTGGGTCTCAGCCCCATTGGTAGACCCCGTACCTAGGTTTTCTGCTAGCCTCTTCTTGCCCATCTCCAGGGCCTCCTGGCGCAGCTGCAGCGCGTGCTGGGCGATCTCCTCGCTGGCCACGTTGGAGGTCATGATGAAGATGGCATCTTTGCAGTCAATGGTCTTGCCCTTCCCATCCGTGAGCCTGCCCTGTAACAGCACCAGGACACAGCTCAGCGTGAGCAGGAGCCATGGGATGCAGCCAAACCATGAGGAGGACACGGGTGCCATGTTTCCCCAGAGTGGATTGATTTACATCATGGGATGGGGTGGGATGAAGGGAGCTGAAAGCCCATCTAAAACCACGGGCAGGGACCCCTTCCACTGGAGCAGCTTGCTCCAAGCCCCTGTGTCCAACCTGGCCTTGAGCACTGCCAGGGATGGGGCAGCCACAGCTTCTCTGGGCACCCTGTGCCAGCGCCTCAGCACCCTCCCAGGGAAGAGCTTCTGCCTAAGAGCTCAGCTCAGTCTCCCCTCGGGCAGGTTCAAGCCATTCCCCTTGGCCTGGCCCTACAGGCCCTTGTCTCAAGCCCCTCTCCAGCTTTCCTGCAGCCCCTTTAGGCACTGGAGCTGCTCTGAGGTCTCATTTCCAATGGATGCCCATGGATTCAAGCAGGAGGGCAGCAGTGATTTGCCCTCTCCATGGTCCCAGCCATCCCCACCCAGCACATCCTTAATGGAAGCTCTGGGAAGCGCCTCACTGGGTGAGTGTGCTCAAGGGCACCCCTAACTCAGCCTCCTGGAGCAACAGAGCCCTGATGCTCACCCTGAGTCCCAAGCTCCCCATGGGGCTGCCTGGGCGTGCTTGTGGGGCAGGAGCTTTGTGTGGGGCTGAAAGCACCACGATGAACCCCAGGGGACTTGCAAGCTCCCCCTGCCCTGCACCCTGTGCTCAGGCTCTGCCTGTTGCACTGCAGCTTCATTGCCAAGGCACTGCTGATGGTGCTGCGAGGCAGGGATGCTCCCCAGCATCACAGTGCCAGGGCTTTACAGGGCTTTTGTGCTCCTGTGAAGGATTAATAACTCCATTTTTCCTTGCATAGATCACGGAGCAGCAGCTCAATGGGAAATCAATTCCTGCAGCACGCACTTGACAGGGCAATAACCCAAATGTTAATCTCAAGCACCCAACAAGGATTTGTGTTGTCGGGCTGGAGATCAGCTGAAAGGAAGCAAAACTGCCTGGGGAGCTCCTGACTTCCCAAGCCTGCTCCTGCTCGCTCTGTTCCATGCTATGGGATAAGAGACCCAGGCCCCTTGCAGCCCTGCTCCTGCTCTCTCTGTTCCATGCTATGGGATAAGAGACCCAGGCCCCTTGCAGCCCTGCTCCTGCTCTCTCTGTTCCATGCTATGGGATAAGAGACCCAGGCCCCTTGCAGCCCTGCTCCTGCTCTGTTCCATGCTATGGGATAAGAGACCCAGGCCCCTTGCAGCCCTGCTCCTGCTCTCTCTGTTCCATGCTATGGGATAAGAGACCCAGGCCCCTTGCAGCCCTGCTCCTGCTCTGTTCCATGCTATGGGATAAGAGACCCAGGCCCCTTGCAGCCCTGCTCCTGCTCTCTCTGTTCCATGCTATGGGATAAGAGACCCAGGCCCCTTGCAGCCCTGCTCCTGCTCTCTCTGTTCCATGCTATGGGATAAGAGACCCAGGCCCCTTGCAGCCCTGCTCCTGCTCTCTCTGTTCCATGCTATGGGATAGAGACCCAGCCCCTTGCACCCTGCTCCTGCTCTCTCTGTTCCATGCTATGGGATAAGGACCCAGGCCCCTTGCAGCCCTGCTCCTGCTCTCTCTGTTCCATGCTATGGGATAGAGACCCAGGCCCCTTGCAGCCCTGCTCCTGCTCTCTCTGTTCCATGCTATGGGATAAGAGACCCAGGCCCCTTGCAGCCCTGCTCCTGCTCTCTCTGTTCCATGCTATGGGATAAGAGACCCAGGCCCCTTGCAGCCCTGCTCCTGCTCTCTCTGTTCCATGCTATGGGATAAGAGACCCAGGCCCCTTGCAGCCCTGCTCCTGCTCTGTTCCATGCTATGGGATAAGAGACCCAGGCCCCTTGCAGCCCTGCTCCTGCTCTCTCTGTTCCATGCTATGGGATAAGAGACCCAGGCCCTTGCAGCCCTGCTCCTGCTCTCTCTGTCCATCTGGGATAGAGCGCTCCTGCTCTCTCTGTTCCATGCTATGGGATAAGAGACCCAGGCCCCTTGCAGCCCTGCTCCTGCTCTGTTCCATGCTATGGGATAAGAGACCCAGGCCCCTTGCAGCCCTGCTCCTGCTCTCTCTGTTCCATGCTATGGGATAAGAGACCCAGGCCCCTTGCAGCCCTGCTCCTGCTCTGTTCCATGCTATGGGATAAGAGACCCAGGCCCCTTGCAGCCCTGCTCCTGCTCTCTCTGTTCCATGCTATGGGATAAGAGACCCAGGCCCCTTGCAGCCCTGCTCCTGCTCTGTTCCATGCTATGGGATAAGAGACCCAGGCCCCTTGCAGCCCTGCTCCTGCTCTCTCTGTTCCATGCTATGGGATAAGAGACCCAGGCCCCTTGAACCCTGCTCCTGCTCTCTCTGTTCCATGCTATGGGATAAGAGACCCAGGCCCCTTGCAGCCCTGCTCCTGCTCTGTTCCATGCTATGGGATAAGAGACCCAGGCCCCTTGCAGCCCTGCTCCTGCTCTCTCTGTTCCATGCTATGGGATAGAGACCCAGGCCCCTTGCAGCCCTGCTCCTGCTCTCTCTGTTCCATGCTATGGGATAAGAGCCCAGGCCCCTTGCAGCCCTGCTCCTGCTCTCTCTGTTCCATGCTATGGGATAAGAACAGGCCCCTTGCACCCTGCTCCTGCTCTCTCTGTTCCATGCTATGGGATAAGAGACCCAGGCCCCTTGCAGCCCTGCTCCTGCTCTCTCTGTTCCATGCTATGGGATAAGAGACCCAGGCCCCTTGCAGCCCTGCTCCTGCTCTCTCTGTTCCATGCTATGGGATAAGAGACCCAGGCCCCTTGCAGCCCTGCTCCTGCTCTCTCTGTTCCATGCTATGGGATAAGAGACCCAGGCCCCTTGCAGCCCTGCTCCTGCTCTCTCTGTTCCATGCTATGGGATAAGAGACCCAGGCCCCTTGCAGCCCTGCTCCTGCTCTCTCTGTTCCATGCTATGGGATAAGAGACCCAGGCCCCTTGCAGCCCTGCTCCTGCTCTCTCTGTTCCATGCTATGGGATAAGGACCCAGCCCCTTGCAGCCCTGCTCCTGCTCTCTCTGTTCCATGCTATGGGATAGAGACCCAGGCCCCTTGCAGCCCTGCTCCTGCTCTGTTCCATGCTATGGGATAGAGACCCAGGCCCCTTGCAGCCCTGCTCCTGCTCTCTCTGTTCCATGCTATGGGATAAGAGACCCAGGCCCCTTGCAGCCCTGCTCCTGCTCTCTCTGTTCCATGCTATGGGATAGAGACCCAGGCCCCTTGCAGCCCTGCTCCTGCTCTCTTGTTCCATGCTATGGGATAAGAGACCCAGGCCCCTTGCAGCCCTGCTCCTGCTCTCTCTGTTCCATGCTATGGGATAAGGACCCAGGCCCCTTGCAGCCCTGCTCCTGCTCTCTCTGTTCCATGCTATGGGATAAGAGACCCAGGCCCCTTGCAGCCCTGCTCCTGCTCTCTCTGTTCCATGCTATGGGATAGAGACCCAGGCCCCTTGCAGCCCTGCTCCTGCTCTCTCTGTTCCATGCTATGGGATAAGAGACCCAGGCCCCTTGCAGCCCTGCTCCTGCTCTCTCTGTTCCATGCTATGGGATAAGAGACCCAGGCCCCTTGCAGCCCTGCTCCTGCTCTCTCTGTTCCATGCTATGGATAGAGCCCAGCCTGCAGCCCTGCTCCTGCTCTCTCTGTTCCATGCTATGGGATAGAGACCCAGGCCCCTTGCAGCCCTGCTCCTGCTCTCTCTGTTCCATGCTATGGGATAAGAGACCCAGGCCCCTTGCAGCCCTGCTCCTGCTCTCTCTGTTCCATGCTATGGGATAAGAGACCCAGGCCCCTTGCAGCCCTGCTCCTGCTCTCTCTGTTCCATGCTATGGGATAAGAGACCCAGGCCCCTTGCAGCCCTGCTCCTGCTCTGTTCCATGCTATGGGATAAGAGACCCAGGCCCCTTGCAGCCCTGCTCCTGCTCTCTCTGTTCCATGCTATGGGATAAGAGACCCAGGCCCCTTGCAGCCCTGCTCCTGCTCTCTCTGTTCCATGCTATGGGATAAGAGACCCAGGCCCCTTGCAGCCCTGCTCCTGCTCTGTTCCATGCTATGGGATAAGAGACCCAGGCCCCTTGCAGCCCTGCTCCTGCTCTCTCTGTTCCATGCTATGGGATAAGAGACCCAGGCCCCTTGCAGCCCTGCTCCTGCTCTCTCTGTTCCATGCTATGGGATAAGAGACCCAGGCCCCTTGCAGCCCTGCTCCTGCTCTGTTCCATGCTATGGGATAAGAGACCCAGGCCCCTTGCAGCCCTGCTCCTGCTCTGTTCCATGCTATGGGATAAGAGACCCAGGCCCCTTGCAGCCCTGCTCCTGCTCTCTCTGTTCCATGCTATGGGATAAGAGACCCAGGCCCCTTGCAGCCCTGCTCCTGCTCTCTCTGTTCCACGCTATGGGATAAGAGACCCAGGCCCCTTGCAGGGAGGAGGAGGAGGGCTGGGGCCACCCCAGTGGGATGCTGTGCGTGTCATCACCACCACAGGGCTCGCTTTGGGGGTGATCCCATGGGATGCTCCCGAAGTTCACTGTGTTATAACCATGTCCCAGTTATCCTGCAGGGTTACTTGGGTTGATCTCATTGGAGTTCAGCCCCTGCTTCAAGGCTTGGATGGGGCTTGGAGCAAGCTGCTCTAGTGGAAAGGGGCCCTGCCTATGGGGTTGACTGAGCTTTAAGGTCCCTCCAACCCAACCCATTCTATGAATCGACATCAATCCAACCCCAAGGCTCCATCCCCACTTTCCAACCCTCCCAGTGGCTTTTCCTTTGCTTGAAGATGACACTGAATCAGGAGACCCCCACCCCAGCCTGTTCCCTGGTTGGGTGACATCAGAAGGTACCACTGATGTGGAGCATCCCAGCGCATCCCCTGCATCCCTCCTCCCTTCCCTACGGGCTGTACCTCATCGAAGAGCTGCAGCATGATGGTGAGGACATCTGGGTGGGCTTTGTCAACCTCATCGAAGAGCACCACGGCGTTGGGGCACTGCCTCAGCCTCTTGGTGAGCTGCCCCCCTTCCTCATGGCCCACGTAGCCCGGTGGGGAGCCGATGAACTTGGCAACCTGGGAGGCAGGAACAGGCCATATGGAGCTCATCCATGGCACTGAAGCCCCCTTGCATTCCCAAACCATCGCATGGCTCTCTGGGGAAGCCTCATCTCAGCAAGGAGCTCAAATCCAAAGGGATTTGTCCCCCCCTCCCTTCTGGGGTGACCCTGGTGAGATCCCCCCTCTCCTGCAGCACCAGCATGGGGTGGAGATGGGACAGGAGGGGTGCGCTCTGCACCGCTCTCTGCTGGATTCTCCCATTCCCTTCCCAGATGCTGCTCCCCAAAGCTCCCCACTGCACAGACATAGGGGGGTTAAAGCTCCCCTTGCTCCTTGCTCGCTGCTCCCAGTTTCCTGCTGTTTCCCATACTGGGAATGCAGAAGCTGGAGCAAAGCTGCTGCTCTGTTGTGCTGCCCAAAGCACTCATCTCCTGGAGAGCATGGAAGCAATATGGGAACGTCCTGGTTGGCATGGCCAGGGGGCTGGTGGTACCCAGGGAGCAGAGGGAAGCCCTCCACTGACCTCGTGCCTCTCCTGGAACTCCGACATGTCCAGCCTGATGAAGCCCTGCAAGAGAAAGGAAGGGCTCCAAAGCCATCACATTTACAAGAGGAAGGGGGAGCCTGAGCTGAGCTCTTAGGCAGGAGCTCTTCCCTGGGAGGGTGCTGAGGCGCTGGCACAGGGTGCCCAGAGAAGCTGTGGCTCCAGTGCTCAAGGCCAGGTTGGAGCAAGCTGCTCTATGGAAGGGATCCCTGCCCATGGCACGGGTTGGGGATGGATGAGCTTTAAGCTCCCTTCATCCCAACCCATCCCATGGCTCCATGTTCCGCGCTAACACAACCCTCAGCATTGAACCGATCCGTCCACGTGCTCTTTGCCCAGGCACTGAGCAGTTCCAGGAGCTGGGAATGAAGGTGCCTGAAGCCCAGGAGCTGGGATTTGCTGCTTTAGGAAGGCCTTTAGGGGAGGACGAGGAACAGAAAGGAGAACAGGAGCATTGGCAGCGTTGTTTCCATCTGCTCTCTGCTGCTCCCATCCCATCCCGTGGCCATTCCCTGATGGAGGATGCTGGGGACAGGTTCTGGGGGGCTTTTCCCTGCTCCAACGTTCCCCAAGGGAATCTGGGCACTTCCCATAGCCTAAACCTCAAGCCTTAAACATGGAACACCCAGCTTGAAACGCATGGTGCCTTCAAACCTCACATCCCTGGGCTACCCCTTATGAAGCCACACCACCAGGGAGGATGGAACTAGATGAGCTTTAGGATCCCTTCCAACCATTCCACGATGATTCCATGAATCAGAGGAGGGAAGAGCGTTACCTTTTTGACATCCTTATGGATGTACTTGGCTGTCTGCTTGGCCAGCTCCGTTTTACCTGTTCCAGAGAGGAAAAGGCTCGTGTTAGACCAGGTCTGTCCATCCTCCTGTGCCAACAGCAGGGCTGGCAGCACCATCACCCATACAAGCGTTGTCTCCATGCAAACGCACTCAAGATGTTGTGAGATCAGATCCCAGCCTCCCAATGTGTCCATTGAACACATAGGTTCTGTTGGAAAAACCCCAGGGACCCCTTCCTGCTGCCATTGGGTTTTATTGTGTCCAGCTCCAGGGCCTAAAGGGGCTGCAGGAAAGCTGGAGAGGGGCTTGGGACAAGGGCCTGTAGGGCCAAGCCAAGGGGAATGGAGGAGCTTTAAGGTCCCTTCATCCCAAACCCTTCCCTGGTTCCCAGATCCAGTGCTGCATCACACATCCCTGCAGCTCTGCCGGTGGTGATGCCTTTGGTGGCTGGATCTGAGGACCACAGAATGAGCTCAGCACAGGAGTGATGCAAACATGGGAACGGAGCCAGAACTCAGCATCCTGGGGCGGTTCAACCCCTGTTCACTTTGGGTGTTGCTGGGTTGTGGGTCCAGACGTGCTCTCACACACAGGGTATGAATAGAAGTGAATCAGGATGGATCCTTAACCTATAACCACGGAAGGGTTTGGGTTGGAAGGGACCTTAAAGCCCATCCAGCTCCGATCCCTTCCACTGGAGCAGCTTGCTCCAAGCCCCTGTGTCCAACCTGGCCTTGAGCACTGCCAGGGATGGGGCAGCCCCAGCTTCTTGGTGCTTTCCCGTTTCAACATTGCTTTCTATGGGAGTCAAAGCAGTGGGAAACCCCTCCATGGACACACAGAGGAGTTGAAGAGCTGTGATTCACACCATTGAGCCTCTACAAGGAGGGCAGTGCAGTCCCAAACCCGTTCCTTACTGGTTTTACAGGGCTTTATACAGCTCCTCTTGTGTTAACCCCCAGCTCCTGGGCAGGCACTGGTCCATGGATCCCAGTGTGTCCCTGCCCTGACCCCTGCAGCCCCAGCCCCTTCCTGAGGCTGAGGGATGCAGCGGATGCAGGAGGAGCACTGGGGTTGTTGCAGATGTGCTTTGGACACGTGAAAGCTGCTTTGTTCCTCTTGGCCATTGATGAAGGGATCAAGTGTTTTGTGCTTGAGGACAAATATGGGAGTCAGTAAAATCCCATCATTCCAAAGCACCCCGTGGCCATAGGAGTGAGACAGCAGAGGCCGGAGCTGCCTGTAGGAGCCTCCTGCTTTCACCTCTCCCATGGAGGCATAAAGCAACCCTTTGCCTGGGAAAACTGCCCCTTTTGGGATGGGATAACTGAGGGTGAAGCTGCCTGGGACCTGCTGGGGTGATCCTGGACCGGCTGGAGGGATGCAACACTTAAACTGGTGTTTTATGGGAGCTCCGCGTGAAGCAAAGGGAGAAGGGGCTGCGCTGGGCCTGAGGAGCAGCCCCAGCCCCTCCATCCCTCTGGCACAGCCCAATCCTTACCTATCCCAGAGGATCCCAGGAACAGAAAGACGAGCGGGTGCTCCTCGTCGTACCAGCCGTTCTCCTTCCTCCGAATGGCTGCGTTTCAAGACAATGGGAACAACAAAAAGGAGGAAGGGGAGGGAGGGAAGGGGGGAAAAGGCAAATAAATCAATGCCACAGAAGCAGGGATAATTATCACTAAGTACACACTCTGTTTTCCTGCTCTCTCCCCACTCAAAGTCCTCGCTGCCATTAGTGCCATCTAATTCGATTAGGCAGGCACGGCCCCAGAGACACCTAATCAGGTTAGCATGGATTGGGAAAGCTGCCCAGAGCACATCACGGATAAAGTTTTCCAGGATGTGCACTCAGCGTTGCCAGGGAGACGGGAGGGAGGGGGGACCGGCAGGGATGCAGGGATGGAGGGAGGGATGCAGCGGTACCGGTGCGGTGATGCTGCACCAGGCCAGCAGGTCCGAGGTTTGTGTGTTATTCCTTGAGTGGGAATGGGAAGAGGGAGGGGATTGAAGGAGTGGGGTAAGGCTGGAAGGGCTGGGAATGAGTTTCCATGTCTCTGGATGGCAATATCCAATGGGAGCCAGCTCTGCTCTGGAGCCAGGCTGAGAGAGCTGGGCTGGGGCAGCCTGGAGAAGAGAAGGCTCCTGAAGGGGAGACCTGAGAGCAGCTCCAGTGCCTAAAGGGGCTGCAGGGAAGCTGGAGAGGGGCTTGGGACAAGGGATGCAGGGATGGGATGAGGAGGAATGGCTTCAACCTGGAAGAGGGAAGAGTTAGATGGGACACTGGGGTGAAGCTCTTCCCTGTGAGGGTGCTGAGGCGCTGGCACAGGGTGCCCAGAGGAGCTGTGGCTGCCCCATCCCTGGCAGTGCTCAAGGCCAGGTTGGACACAGGGGCTTGGAGCAAGCTGGGGATGTGAAGAGGAAATCCATGTCCGGAGGTCACCAGGGGATTTGCCTGGACCACAGGCACGAAGCATCACCACAAAAGCTCATCCAGGAGCCCCAGGAACCTGCTCCAGGGGCTGGATGAGAGGATTCAACGTGGGAAGGAGGCAGGATGGGTTTTGTACTGAGGGTGAGTCAGCACTGCAGCAGCGATGCGATGCGGCTGGATCCCCAATCCTTGTGGAGGAGGTGGGAAGAACCCTGCAAGGAGGTGGTGGCTCAGCCTGGGGGTGAAGTCTGCATCACTGTGATGCGGGAGTCAGCCTAAAGAGCCCCAAAAGCCCAGTTTAACCCTAAAATCCCAGGCACATCCACCTGATGGAAGGGGATGGAGCGCAGGGAGCTGAATCCCAGCACAATGAGGACGTGACAGGTTGGGTCTGGCCACCATCAAGATGCATCACCCATCCCTTGGCTGCCCTAACACGTCCTGACTCCTGTCAAGGCTTAATGAGACCAGGCTCAGAGCCAGGCTCTGCTTTACCCTACCCAGTGTGGGGTAGGGGGGGGCAGCTCAGCCCCATGGACCAGCTCCAGCAGCGGGCAGGGATTTGTCCTCTTGGCCATGGGGGTTGATGTGGTGGTGAACATCTCCTCTGCAAACCGGGACCAGGGGCACCAATGGGGACCACGGGGATCCACATCGGGCCCAGAGCTGCTCAGTGCCTTCATAAGTGATGTGGATGATGGGATCGATGATGGGATCGATGATGGGATCGATGATGGGATCAATGATGGGATCAATGATGGGATCAAGTGTTCCCGGATGACACCAAAGTGAGTGGGGAAGGGAGAGCTGGAGAAGAGAAGGTGCAGGGAGACCTGATCCATGTGCCAGAGGTAAAGGGGGATGCAGGGAAGATGGAGACTCCCTTTGGACAAGGAGTCCCATGGGGAAGCCCAGGGGTGATGGGCACAAGTTACTGCTGGGAGATTCCCAATGGACACAAGAGGAGAATCATCCCAGTGAGAACAAGCAGCCACTGGAATAATCTCCCCAGGGCAGTGGGGACTCCCCAGTGCTGGACACTGTTAAGATGGGGCTGCACAGGGTGCTGGGCATCCAGTCTGGGTCAGGCTGTGCATGGAGAGGCTGGAGCAGAGGATCCCTGAGGATTCCATTGGGATTGCAGGATTCCATGAAATCACAGGCAGCATCCACATCACCCCCACTGAAGAGCCAGCCCAGGAGCAAGAGGAGATGCCCATGGCATGGAGCTGCACTGCGGGTCCTGTGTGATCCCCTGCACACCTCCCAGAGCATCCCACCGTGGCTTGTGCTCCATCCCTGCCCTTTATGGCAGCAAAGCTGAGGTCAGCCACGCGGGGGGATATATTTCCTGCAGGATTGATGGGGAATAACGGGACCACTGACAGTGTCTGCAGCATCTCAGCTAATAAAGGTAATAAAGCTCTGCTCCAGGGCATGGAGTGACCACGGGCAGGGTCAGCACGTTCAATGGTCTGCAGGCAGCCAGGTTAAGTGTTAAGTGTTGTCTCTTTTCACTCCCCTCTCCAGCAGCATCCCGGGTTTTATGGCTAAACACTCATCTTGCTCATCACAACTCCAGGGATATAAAGCATCCCATAAAACACAAGCACCATGGAGCTAGGGCTGTGATCCTGGCTGCAAGGGGATGGGCAGTACTTAGAGCCATCAGTGGTGCGATGAGATGGAAAACCTCTGCTGCAAGGAGCCTTAAAGTGATGATTCCAGCCCCAAATGCTCTGGAGGTCCTGGTTGCCATCAGAAAGGGGTCACCAAGCCCCCTGCTCCAGCACCTCCAGCATGGGAGGCTCTTGAGGCTTGGTTACCAGCATCATCATGAGGAGGAGCAGAGCTGCTGCCCTAAGGATGGAGGAGGCCATTGTGTGGATGGGAAGGGGTGAACCTCATCTTGGGGAGCCTGTGGGCAGGCTCCATCCGTGCTGGTGATGGCCACGCTGTGCCTCTTGGAAAGCCATCCCCTTCCCAATGGGATCATGGAGAGGGGCAGGAAGGGCTCCAGGTCACTGCTGGGGTCCCATGGAGGCAGCTGAGCATCCACATGCATGCAAGGAGGAGGATGGTGATGCTGGGGCCTTCTTGTCCAGAGCCATTTCCAGGTTGCTGTGGTGCTCTCGCTTGATTTTGGCCATCAGTAACGGCGCGAGCGCGGCGCGGGGTCTCCGAGAGGCCCTTCAGCTCTCTATTGAACTGATAAATTCACTGTATTACTTTACACAAATCAATAGCCTCGCAGTTCTCAGCCCTTTGAGGTGACCAAAATTGGTTCCAGCCAATTTGTGAGGGTAATAAATGTCCATTCATCAAATCAATTCATTCAGGGGAGCGGCTCCGACCGCCCCGCTCGGGGTACGTGGGGTGAGGGATCCGGGTCTGCACCCGCTGTGGGGTCGCTCGTCTGCATCCGGGATTGGTCCAGGGGTGAGCACATCCCAAAGGAACTGATGCAGCCTCGCTGCTGGTGGCATTGGGATGCGGGAGGTGAACCCCAAACTATCCCAAAGCTGCTCCTAAGCAGAGCCAGACCTGACCAGGCTGCCCCATCCCTGGCAGTGCTCAAGGCCAGGTTGGACACAGGGGCTTGGAGCAAGCTGCTCTATGGAAGGGGTTGGGGTTGGAACTGAATCAGCTTTAAGGTCCCTTCATCCCAAACCATTGTGACTCTATGATCCTAGGAGGATGATTCCCAGTGCCCCGTTCCCTGCAGCTCTGGAGCTCGGGCTCATTCCAACATTCCCCCTGCTCAATGCACTCAGAATTCACCATCCAGAACCAGACGCAGATTCCCTGCTCCCCCTTTTCCAACCCCTCTGCACCCCAAACCAAGCCACCCTTTCCCTTCCCTGCTCCTCCTCATCCAGCTGCAGGAAGAGCTGGAGCAGCTTCATTCCAGCCCCAAGCTCTGGAACAGCAGCACCGGGCAGGGCTGGTGCTGGAGCCAACCTCTCCGTGCCCATGGGCTGGCAAACGCTGTGCATCCCATAGAGGAGGGGATGGAGCCATGAGAGAGGTTTATGGGGATTCCATCAGAGGTGTTTGTGCTCTGGGGGGGGATTTAGGGGATGGGATAACAAACCTTATGGGTAGAGTCATGGGATGGGGTGGGATGAAGGGGCCTTGAAGCTCCTCCAGCCCGTGTGGATTCCAGTCAGGAACCATCATTCACCTCCCCATTGAGCCCTATGCTGCTTCCTGCAGCTGCAAAGAGAGCAGCAGAGCTCATCTCTATCCCATGGGATGGGTTTCCACCCCTTTGTGGTAGCGATGCCAAGCACCAGCTCCGTGTGAGCATTCCCAATGGCCCGGCCCTCCATACAGACCCCAGAGCACGCGTTGCCTTTGTATTCCCATCTGAGCCCCTCTGGAGAGTGTTTGGATCATGCAGCGGGTGATGGATTAAATCAGATGATTCAATTAAGGGCCGGGTGATGCATTAACCAGCCCAGCAGGCTCCGCTAATCCCGGGATGTGGGGTTTGGGAAGCATCCTAGGGACAACGTGGGCAGCAGGAGGCCACCAAGCGGGAGCAAATCCAGATGGGAATGAGTGCGATCACCCCAAAGGCAGAGGGGCAAGGGCCTGATGGCACTGGGTGAGTGCAGTCACCCCAAAGGCAGAGGGGCAAGGGCCTGATGGCACTGGGTGAGTGCAGTCACCCCAAAGGCAGAGGGGCAAGGGCCTGATGGCACTGGGTGAGTGCAGTCACGGCAGAGGGGCAAGGGCCTGATGGCACTGGGTGAGTGCAGTCACCCCAACAGAGGGGCAAGGGGCTGATGGCACTGGGTGAGTGCAGTCACCCCAAAGGCAGAGGGGCAAGGGGCTGATGGCACTGGGTGAGTGCAGTCACCCCAAAGGCAGAGGGGCAAGGGCCTGATGGCACTGGGTGAGTGCAGTCACCCCAAAGGCAGAGGGGCAAGGGCCTGATGGCACTGGGTGAGTGCGATCACCCCAAAGGCAGAGGGGCAAGGGCCTGATGGCACTGGGTGAGTGCGATCACCCCAAAGGCAGAGGGGCAAGGGCCTGATGGCACTGGGTGAGTGCAGTCACCCCAAAGGCAGAGGGGCAAGGGGCTGATGGCACTGGGTGAGTGCAGTCACCCCAAAGGCAGAGGGGCAAGGGCCTGATGGCACTGGGTGAGTGCGATCACCCCAAAGGCAGAGGGGCAAGGGCCTGATGGCACTGGGTGAGTGCGATCACCCCAAAGGCAGAGGGGCAAGGGGCTGATGGCACTGGGTGAGTGCAGTCACCCCAAAGGCAGAGGGGCAAGGGCCTGATGGCACTGGGTGAGTGCGATCACCCCGGGGCAAGGGGTTGATGGCACTGGGTGAGTGCAGTCACCCCAAAGGCAGAGGGGCAAGGGCCTGATGGCACTGGGTGAGTGCAGTCACCCCAAAGGCAGAGGGGCAAGGGCCTGATGGCACTGGGTGAGTGCAGTCACCCCAAAGGCAGAGGGGCAAGGGCCTGATGGCACTGGGTGAGTGCAGTCACCCAAAGGCAGAGGGGCAAGGGCCTGATGGCACTGGGTGAGTGCAGTCACCCCAAAGGCAGAGGGGCAAGGGCCTGATGGCACTGGGTGGTGCAGCCCAAAGGCAGAGGGGCAAGGGCCTGATGGCACTGGGTGAGTGCAGTCACCCCAAAGGCAGAGGGGCAAGGGGCTGATGGCACTGGGTGAGTGCAGTCACCCCAAAGGCAGAGGGGCAAGGGCCTGATGGCACTGGGTGAGTGCAGTCACCCCAAAGGCAGAGGGGAAAGGGGATGGGAGGAAAAACCCGGTCTCCAAATCCCCTCTTCCATAGGGAAAGCAGCAGGAATGGGGCAGAAGGGAGAGGGGAGGAGGGGCTGGAGCCTCTCCCCCTACCTTTGCCTCTGATATCCCGAGGCTGCGGGGGGGTGGATCCAGCACATTCCCTCTAATTCAATAAGAGAAACCTCCATAAAGGCAGCTGCTCTAATGGGCAGCAGCACCACCTGTGTCAGGAGCAGCAGCACCATCAATCACAGCGCTGGGCTGGCCCCGCTCCTGCCCCCAGGCACTGCAGCAGCACCGGGGCTGCGCTGCTCCTGCCTGGCTCTCAGCACCCCCGGCTCCTCTTTGTTACCTCCTGCAGCACAGGGCTGCCCTGCTCCATCCCATCCCATCCCATCCCATCCCATCCATCCCATCCCATCCCATCCCATCCATCCCATCCCATCCCATCCATCCCATCCCATCCCATCCCATCCCATCCCATTCCATCCATCCCATCCCATCCCATCCCATCCCATCCCATCCCATCCATCCCATCCCATCCCATCCCATCCCATCCCATCCCATCCCATCCCATCCCATCCCATCCCATCCATCCCATCCTCACTGCTCCTGCTGCCAGGCGCTGCTGGGACCGGCCAAGGAGGTACAGCAGCATCCAGAGGCTTTCAGACCGACCCCAGCCGTGCTGGAGCCCTGATTCCATAGAGCCATGGAATGGGTGGAAGGGGGCTTAAAGCTCATCCAGGACCCCTTCCACTGGAGCAGCTTGCTCCAAGCCCCTGTGTCCAACCTGGCCTTGAGCACTGCCAGGGATGGGGCAGCCACAGCTTCTCTGGGCACCCTGTGCCAGCGCCTCAGCACCCTCACAGGGAAGAGCTTCTGCCTAAGAGCTCAGCTCAGTCTCCCCTCGGGCAGGTTCAAGCCATTCCCCTTGCTCTATGCTGGGCTCTGAGAGGCTGCCCCATGGCAAAGCACCTGCAGTGCACAGCCAGGACCCATCTCCTCCTTTCTCCTCCCTGCTGGGGCCGTGTGCTCCATGATGGATGTAGCCTGCAGTGGGACACAGAGCTGAGGGCTCCCAGCTCCCTGCCCTGGCTCACCCCATGCAGGGGATGTGCTGCCACAGCCATGGGGTAGGGTTGCAGTGGGGAGGTAAGAGCATGGCCTGGGTTATGGGAGTCAGCCCCCATCCTGCTCTGCTCTGCAGATGCCCAGCACCCTTTTGTCTCAGTGATTACCATAATGAAGTTATGCTCCGAGCAACTGTCAGTGCTCATCTGATGTCTGAGGCTTCTGGTGGGGCCCACGTGCCTGAAAGCTGCTCTGGGTTTAACCCCAGCTCCAGCACTCACTGATGGAAGCATCCTCAAACCCTGCTGCACACCACAAGAGCCCAACTCGCTCCAGGGAAGCTGGAGAGGGGCTTGGGACAAGGGCCTGTAGGGCCAGGCCAAGGGGAACGGCTTGAACCTGCCCAAGGGGAGACTGAGCTGCAGGATGCTGGTGTGGGCTGTGCTCCGGAGCAGGGGATGCACACAACTGCTGCCCTGCCATGGGAGTGCCTCTATCCCATGGGATTGGCCTGCTCCTGGCACATGGAGCTGAAGGGTCCCAGTCTGGGTGCGCTGCTCACTGGTGGTGATGTGGGCTGGGGAGCAAGGATGCTCTTATGGAAGGATCTGATCCTTTCTGCTCTGAGCACACCTGAGGTACCAGGCATGGAGAGCGCTCCCAGTGCAGTGTGGACCATGCAGTTATGGAGTGCTTGGGGTTGGAGCTCATCCAGCTCAGCCTGGACAGGAGAAGGCTCCTGAAGGGGAGACCTGAGAGCAGCCCCAGTGCCTAAAGGGGCTGCAGGAAAGCTGGAGAGGGGCTTGGGACAAGGGATGCAGGGATGGGAGGAGGAGGAATGGCTTCAATCTGGAAGAGGGAAGAGTTAGATGGGACATTGGGGTGAAGCTCTTCCCTGTGAGGGTGCTGAGGCGCTGGCACAGGGTGCCCAGAGAAGCTGTGGCTGCCCCATCCCTGGCAGTGCTCAAGGCCAGGTTGGACACAGGGGCTTGGAGCAAGCTGCTCCAGTGGAAGGGGTCCCTGCCTGTGGGTTTAGATGGGCTTTAAGCCCCCTTCATACCACCCCATCCCATGGTTCTATAAAGGGCTCTCTCCCCCAGCCAGGATATCCCTGCTGGACCTCATCACTGGTCCCCCCTCCATCAATGACTCAGATGCAGCCTCATGTCCCATCCCAAGGGACCACCGTTCCCTCCCTATGGAGCAAGGCCTGAGGGATGGATGAGCAGGGCCCTACCTGCTCCCACCGTGGCAATGGCGCTCTCCTGGCCGATGATGTGCTCCTTGAGGCGCTGCTCCAGCGGGAACCTGCGGCGTTCCTCCACCTCCCTCCTGCGCTGCTCCTCCTGGAACTGGGGCACGGGGGAAAAGCTTGGGATCAGAGGCTTTCCCAAGCAACACCACGAGCATCAGGGGGGGTATGGGGCTTTCCCCCCCCTAGGACAGGCTCAATTCCACTGCAGGCACTGGGAAGCAGGCACAGCTCATCCTAAGGAGCTCTCATCCTGGGAGAAGCTCACATAGGAAAAGCCTTGCCTATTCCACTTGGGTTTGCTTCCCCACCCTCCCCATGTCCCTCATGCAGCCAAGCTGTTCCCACAGGGCTGTGTCCTGGTGGGGATGCTGGGGAGCACACATGCTGCTTTGCACAGAGACCCTCTGCAGCATGGAGGAAACAGTGGGAAACGCTCTGTTTTGGGACATTGGCTTCCCTGTGCTCCAGAGGAACAGGGATTCACACACTGCTCCCACCCAGACCCTTTCCCAGTGGGATGGGCTATGTTTGCCACACCATAGTGGGCCAAGGGAGAACATAATCATGGAACCCTGCAATCCCAATGGAATCCTCAGGGATCCCCTGCTCTCCAGGCACAGCCTGACCCAGACTGGATGCCCAGCACCCTGTGCAGCCCCATCTTAACAGTGTCCAGCACTGGGGAGTCCCCACTGCCCTGGGGAGATTATTCCAGTGGCTGCTTGTTCTCACTGGGATGATTCTCCTCTTGTGTCCATTGGGAATCTCCCAGCAGTAACTTGTGCCCATCACCCCTGGGCTTCCCCATGGGACTCCTTGTCCAAAGGGAGTCTCCATCTTCCCTGCATCCCCCTTTACCCCTGGCACATGGATCAGGTCTCCCTGCGCCTTCTCTTCTCCAGCTGCACAGTCCCAGCTCTCTCAGCCTTTCCTCACTGCTGCCCAGCCCCATGTGTATGAGATGCCACCAGCCTTTGTATGGGGCAGTAACGTCCCTGTGGATCCCAATGGAGCAGCTCCATGGGATGAAGGGAGCTTAAAGCTGCCACAGGCAGGGACCCCTTCCACTGGAGCAGCTTGCTCCAAGCCCCTGTGTCCAACCTGGCCTTGAGCACTGCCAGGGATGGGGCAGCCACAGCTTCTCTGGGCACCCTGTGCCAGCGCCTCAGCACCCTCACAGGGAAGAGCTTCTGCCTAAGAGCTCAGCTCAGTCTCCCCTCGGGCAGGTTCAAGCCATTCCCCTTGGCCTGGCCCTACAGGCCCTTGTCCCAAGCCCCTCTCCAGGTTCCCTGCAGCCCCTTTAGGCACTGGAGCTGCTCTCAGGCCCTGTTTGCTCTATAAAGGCCATATCAGAGAGTTGGGGATGAGGCAGCAGACCCAAGCTCCAGGTCTGCAGGTCCTCGCTGCTGCCTGCAGGGAGAGAGCAGTGAGAAGGGGAACTGGGGCTCATCCTGCCTGAAAGACTCCTTCCAGTCCTGCTGGAGATGGGAAAGATGGATCTGACCCGGCCTGGTGCACACAAGGAGTTCAATGGCAAAGCCAGGCTTGTAAGAGCCAAGGAGCCTCCATCAGGGAGTGCAGTGATAGGACAAGGGGTGATGGGTTCAAACTGCAACAGGGGAAGCTTACATTGGATCTAAGGAAGAAGTTCTTTAATGAGAGGGTGCTGAGGCACTGGAATGGGTTGCTCAGGGAGGCTGTGAATGCTCCATCCCTGTCAGTGCTCAAGGCCAGGTTGGATGCATCCCTGCATGACCTGGTTCAGTGCGAGGTGCCCATGGCACACATTCGGAACTGGATGATGTTAAGGTCCTTTCCACTCCTATTCCATGATCCTGTGACTCTGAGACTGCTGGGACCACATCCTCCTGCTTGCATAGAGAAGACACAAGGTTTGGGAGCTACTTTTAGCCGTGGTCACTTCAGCTTGACCAGGGTGTCCTGCTGCCTGTACCAGCTCCAAGCCTCAGGACCGGGCGCATGGAGCACATGGAGCATCCCTGCTCATGCAGGCAGAAGGGGTGATCCAAATACATTAAGCACACAGATGAAACCTCCTTGTTATTGTGGCAGCGGGGTATGTAAATCACAGCTAGGGGATGGGCCCAGCCCCTAACACCGCTGCCAATTCATTCTCCTGCAGTGATTAAAATGAGCAATTCCTCCTCAAAGACTCTCTGTGGAGCACGGAGACCGCAGCGGCTGCAGCCCCCCGAGCACCACGTCCCCCCCAGCTCCATATCCATCACCCAGCCTGCTCCCACTCCCTGTTTATAGGCAGGAGCTCTCGTCTCCAGCAGGAACATCCCATAGATCTATGTCCTCGATCCGTGCAGCATTAAACCCAGTGCTGCTTCGTGCTGTTATGGGCAGGCTCCTTCCGCAGGGAGCGCTCAGCCAGCGCACGATTCCCTCCTCATCCTCCTTGGGATGCTCTGAGTAGTTCATTCCCAACTTTTGGGGCTGGAGGGAAGGGATGGGATCCACATAGGATCATGGAATGGGTTGGGTTGGAAAGGACCTTAAGATCATCCAGATCCAACCCCTGCCATGGGCAGGGACACCTCGCTCTAAACCACAGCACCCAAGGCTCTGTCCAACCTGGCCTTGAACACTGCCAGGGATGGAGCATTCACAACCTCCCTGGGCACCCATTCCAGTGCCTCAGCACCCTCACACTAAAGAACTTCCTCCTTAGATCCAATCTAAACTCCCCCTGTTTCAGTCTGAACCCATCACCCCTTGTCCTATCACTGCAGTCCCTAATGAAGAGTCCCTCCCCAGCATCCCTATAGGCCCCCTTCACACACTGGAAGCTGCTCTGAGGTCTCCACGCAGCTTCTCTTCTCCAGGCTCAACAGCCCCAATGTTCTCAGCCTGGCTCCATACAGGAGCTGCTCCAGCCCCTGAGCATCCTCGTGGCCTCCTCTGGACTCGCTCCAACAGCTCCATCCCCTCCTTATGTTGAGGACAAGGACAGCCTGAGAGTTGGGACCATAGAACCTAATGAAGTTAAAGCAGGCCAAGGGCAAGGTCCTGTGCATGGACCAGGGCAATCCCAGCACAAACAGAGGCTGGGGGAGATGGGCTGGAGCCTGAGGAGAAGGATTTGGGGTGCTGGGTGAGGAGGTGCTCCCCATGATCCCATCCCTGGCAGTGCTCAAGGCCAGGTTGGACACAGGGGCTTGGAGCAAGCTGCTCTATGGAAGGGGTCCCTGTCTGTGGCAGGGGTTGGAGCTGGAGGAGCTTTAGGATCCCTTCATCCCACCCCATTCCATGGCTCCATGACCCTACATCATGGTGTGTTCCATGACTCAAGGACACTGGATCCTCAGACCTGTTCTGTTTCACCATGAATTACAGACCTAAAGCAACCCCTGATTTCCTCTGGGTTTGCCATGGGGCCCCAGAACAGCTCTTCTGCCCCTCTGCACCCACCTTCCATGGTGCAGAAGACCATGAATATGGGAATGGAGGATGCGCATCCCGGTACCCGGAACACTGCAGGAATGCAGTTCTCCCCTTATGCATCCTGGTTTGGATGTGATGGGGTGTTTGAGGTCACCCTAACCTGGAAGCTGGGAGTGGGGAGGGAACCGGGGCTCACCTTTGTCTCTGCTGCTTTCAGGAGGTCCTTGATGTCCCCATCCCGAGCGTAGTCCAGCGGGGTATGGCCCATCTCGTTCTTCTGCAGGGGGTTAGCACCTGAGGGGAGCAAGAAATGGGATTGGAGCCGAGTCCTGCGGCACAAGGAGCACTGGGCATCCCTGTGTCCTTCCTGAGCTGTGCTCCCAAGGGAATGTGCATCAGAGAGGGGTAATGCCCAACCAGTGGGTATGCACATGGGTGTGCAGGGAATGGGGATGGGGATTGTCCCTGCTAACACACGCCTTGGCAGGGAAGGGATGCTGTGGTCCCCAGTGCTTCACAAAGGCTCCCATGGGATCAATCCAGCCTCAAGTGGAGATGCTGCCCATCCCCTGGGAGAGCAACAGGAGCCTGTAGGGACAGGCCAAGGGGAATGGCTTGGAGCAAGCTGCTCCAGTGGATGGTGGCCCTGCCTGAGGCATTGGGTTGGAGCTGGAGGAGCTTCAAGGTCCCTTCATCCCACCCCATCCCATGATTCTATCCATGAGGTTTGTTATCCCATCTCCTAAATCCCCCCCCAGAGCACAAACATCTCTGATGGAATCCCATAAACCTCTCTCATGGCTCCATCCCCTCCTCTATGGGATGCACAGCGTTTGCCAGCCCATGGGCATGGAGAGGTTGGCTCCAGCACCAGCCCTGCCCGGTGCTGCTGTTCCAGAGCTTGGGGCTGGAATGAAGCTGCTCCAGCTCTTCCTGCAGCTGGATGAGGAGGAGCAGGGAAGGGAAAGGGTGGCTTGGTTTGGGGTGCAGAGGGGTTGGAAAAGGGGGAGCAGGGAATCTGTGTCTGGTTCTGGATGGTGAATTCGGAGTGCATTGAGCAGGGAGAATGTTGGAATGAGCCCGAGCTGCAGAGCTGCAGGGGAACGGGGCACTGGGAATCATCCTCCTGCCCTGGGGTGAAGGGAATGGTCCCACTTGCAGCAATGGGAATCACAGATCAAGCAATGTGGGGTGAGGAGGGATGGGAATGGGGGAAGAGCCAATGATGCCAGGGAGGGCTCAGGACATTGGCATCTCAGGAGATACCTGGGGAAGGTGCAGGGAGACCTGATCCATGTGCCAGGGGTAAAGGGGGATGCAGAGATGGAGACTCCCTTTGGACAAGGACCTCATGGAAAGCCCAGGGGTGATGGGCACAAGTTACTGCTGGGGGATTCCCAATGGACACAAGAGGAGAATCATCCCAGTGAGAACAAGCAGCCACTGGAATAATCTCCCCAGGGCAGTGGGGACTCCCCAGTGCTGGACACTGTTAAGATGGGGCTGCACAGGGTGCTGGGCATCCAGTCTGGATCCGGTCACTCCCACTGGGATTCCATGGTTCCATAACTATGATCCCATCCCACCCTTAGCCCAGCCTGCAGAGGGCTCAGCAAACATCTCCCATCCCATTGGGAATGACCTGGCCACATCCGCAGCACCTGAAGCAAGCTCCATCCCCTGCTCCTGGAGGCCGGGGAGCCCCATCCTGATGGATGGAAGGAGCAGGGGACCCCGAGGAGCCGAGTGCTGGATTGGGATCTGCTTCCAGGTGAAGAATGGGCTCCACAAGGAAGGGGTGCAGGGGAGTTCCCATGGCAAGGCTTGGCATTCCCAATGAAGAATGGGATCCCTTGGCATTCCCAATGAAGAATGGGATCCCTTGGCATTCCCAATGAAGAATGGGATCCCTTGTCATTCCAGATGAAGAATGGGATCCCTTGTCATCCCAGATGAAGAATGGGATCCCTTGTCATTCCAGATGAAGAATGGGATCCCTTGTCATTCCAGATGAAGAATGGGATCCCTTGTCATTCCAGATGAAGAATGGGATCCCTTGTCATCCCAGATGAAGAATGGGATCCCTTGTCATTCCAGATGAAGAATGGGATCCCTTGTCATTCCAGATGAAGAATGGGATCCCTTGTCATTCCAGATGAAGAATGGGATCCCTTGTCATTCCAGATGAAGAATGGGATCCCTTGTCATTCCAGATGAAGAATGGGATCCCTTGTCATTCCAGATGAAGAATGGGATCCCTTGTCATTCCAGATGAAGAATGGGATCCCTTGTCATTCCAGATGAAGAATGGGATCCCTTGTCATTCCAGATGAAGAATGGGATCCCTTGTCATTCCAGATGAAGAATGGGATCCCTTGTCATTCCAGATGAAGAATGGGATCCCTTGTCATTCCAGATGAAGAATGGGATCCCTTGTCATTCCAGATGAAGAATGGGATCCCTTGTCATTCCAGATGAAGAATGGGATCCCTTGTCATTCCAGATGAAGAATGGGATCCCTTGTCATTCCAGATGAAGAATGGGATCCCTTGTCATTCCAGATGAAGAATGGGATCCCTTGTCATTCCAGATGAAGAATGGGATCCCTTGTCATTCCAGATGAAGAATGGGATCCCTTGTCATTCCAGATGAAGAATGGGATCCCTTGTCATTCCAGATGAAGAATGGGATCCCTTGTCATTCCAGATGAAGAATGGGATCCCTTGTCATTCCAGATGAAGGCCAGGATCCCTTGTCATTCCAGGTGAAGAATGGGATCCCTTGTCATTCCAGATGAAGAATGGGATCCCTTGTCATTCCCAGTGAAGAATGGGATCCCTTGTCATTCCAGATGAAGAATGGGATCCCTTGTCATTCCAGATGAAGAATGGGATCCCTTGTCATTCCAGATGAAGAATGGGATCCCTTGTCATTCCAGATGAAGAATGGGATCCCTTGTCATTCCAGATGAAGAATGGGATCCCTTGTCATTCCAGATGCAGAATGGGATCCCTTGTCATTCCAGATGAAGAATGGGATCCCTTGTCATTCCAGATGAAGAATGGGATCCCTTGTCATTCCGAATGAAGAATGGGATCCCTTGTCATTCCGAATGAAGAATGGGATCCCTTGTCATTCCAGATGAAGAATGGGATCCCTTGTCATTCCCAATGAAGAATGGGATCCCTTGTCATCCCAGATGAAGAATGGGATCCCTTGTCATTCCAGATGAAGAATGGGATCCCTTGTCATTCCAGATGAAGAATGGGATCCCTTGTCATTCCAGATGAAGAATGGGATCCCTTGTCATTCCGAATGAAGAATGGGATCCCTTGTCATTCCAGATGAAGAATGGGATCCCTTGTCATTCCAGATGAAGAATGGGATCCCTTGTCGTTCCAGACGAAGAATGGGATCCCTTGTCATCCCGAATGAAGAATGGGATCCCTTGTCATCCCAGATGAAGAATGGGATCCCTTGTCATTCCAGATGAAGAATGGGATCCCTTGTCATCCCGAATGAAGAATGGGATCCCTTGTCATTCCAGATGAAGAATGGGATCCCTTGTCATCCCAGATGAAGAATGGGATCCCTTGTCATCCCGAATGAAGAATGGGATCCCTTGTCATCCCAGATGAAGAATGGGATCCCTTGTCATCCCAGATGAAGAATGGGATCCCTTGTCATCCCAGATGAAGAATGGGATCCCTTGTCATTCCAGATGAAGAATGGGATCCCTTGTCATTCCAGATGAAGAATGGGATCCCTTGTCATTCCAGAGAAAGGCTGGGATCCAGACAGGCCACTTACTTACTGCAGAGCATGGCCACTCAATATCTCCCTATTAGAGACCCCGTTCCCCCCCTTCCCTTGTCCGACCCCATCGGGCCCGGAGCGGGGAACCCTGTGCCTCCTCCACCTGCTGACATCCCCCAGGCCAGGGCTCAGTTCCCTTCCTCTGGAATTCTCCCTCCAATATTGGCCTAATCCCCTGTTAATGGCTTTGACGACTTGACTAATTGCTGCAATCATTGACAGGACCGACGGGTCGATTCCACGCTCGGCGAGGAAATATTGCACCCTCATCCATAACAGTGGCAGCCCCTGCTTAATGGAAGGCAGGCGGGAGCCCTGACCCCTCTCCCCTATGGCCACGCTGCTTGGAGCACTGGGGCTGCCATAGGAGGCAATTTATCAGCTCCCCCTTGGTTGTGTGGGGCCGGGGCTGGACCACCTGGGTAGCACCGCGGGCTCTGCCTCCTCCTGCACCTCCCTGCTTGGGATGAGGAGGCTCGGGCTGATCCTCTTTGATAAATGGGCCTCGGGTGCGGCGCCGGCGCCGGGTCCCTCATTGGGGAAATATGTTCCTGTCACAGCAGTGGCAGCACGGAGCCCAGTGACAGGCAGAGATTTTTCATATTTTATTAACTCCCTCCTCCTCCCAATTTGTCTTGAATTCCTTCGCATCCGGGAGCTGTCAATAGAGCCCGGGCTGCGCTGCGGATGATGGGAGGCGCTGGGGAGATGGGGTGCAGAGAGGAGGGGAGATGCTGAGAGGAGGGTGCACAGGGGTTGGGGGAGTGGTGTGGCATGGGCAGCGCAGTGTCACCCACAGTGTCACCCACAGTGTCACCCATAGTGCCAACCGTAGTATCACCCATGGTGCTACCCATAGCATCACACATAGTGCCACCCAGAGCATCACACATAGTGCCAACTGTAGTGTCACCCATAGCATCACCCATAGTGCCACCCATAGCATCACACATAGTGCTACCCATAGTGTCACCCACAGTGTCACCCACAGTGTCACCCATAGTGCCAACTGTAGTATCACCCATGGTGCTACCCATAGCATCACACATAGTGCCACCCATAGCATCACCCATAGTGCCACCCATAGCATCACACATAGTGCCACCCATAGTGTCACCCATAGTGCCATCCATAGTATCACCCACAGTGTCACCCATAGTGCCACCCATAGTATCACCCATTGTGCCATCCATAGTATCACCCATAGCATCACCCATAGTGTCACCCATAGTGTCATCAATAGTGCCATCCATAGTATCACCCATAGTGTCACCCACAGTGTCACTCATAGTGTCATCCATAGTGTCACCCATAGCATCACGCATAGTATCACCCATAGCATAACCCACAGCATCACCCATAGTGTCTCCTATAGTGCCATCCACAGTATCACCCATAGTGTCCCCCATAGCGTCACCCATAGCATCACCTGCAGCATCACCCATAGTGTCCCCAATAGTGTTACCCATAGCATCACC